GCGAAACATTCCAGTGCAATGACAAAGTGGAATAAATATAGAAACATAACAGACTATGGTATAAAATGCGAACGCCTGCTACGTGTGTGTGGATTTTATTCTCCGTAAACTAAATATTAAAAGATAGATTAACGTTATTAAAACAGGAACAAGAATTAAATTTAAATGTTATAGCCTAACATATTAACAACGCTACAAAATACGACAAATCCTTTTATTTCAAATTGAAATGAACGTAGTAATTTAATAAATGGTTTTTTAACACTTTAACAACTTAGGTTGGTGACGAACACAATAACCATGGCACACAAGCGATGCTTAAGTATGAGGATGGGCCCAAAATGCACGCAAAATATAATTCGTGTTCAAAACAGAAATGTGAGTTACGGCACCCAAAATTTTAACTTTACATTCCCAGCAAAGACTGAATAACATCCTTTCCTGCCGTCTGAAATCTCGAAGGGCACGTAAGTTCCTTATTGCGTAACGAAAGCCAGGTTCATGGCATTACCATCATGAACCTGTGTCCGCCTATATACGTATCTGTACCCCTAATAACTTGAACTAAATCACGGATAATCATAACATTTTGTATTGGCATCGTTCTACTACAGGACACCGTCTCCTCGCACAATTTTAATTTCACGCAATCAATGAGTTGCAACATTTGTTAACATCATTTTTGTGTACAATGTAGTCGCAAAATGCGAACAAGTTGGACGTGAGAAATGGATAATTAGGTTTAGGCTTGCTGATGATGACTAATGAACCATCGGGGTCAAGCATGTTTAATTTTGACTAGTGATAACTAACAAACACACCAACAGATTTTGTGGTTTTATAAATTAATAATTACATACATAACGGCGCAAAAATTTGAGCAAATATGGGGAACATGTAAAGTAATTGAAATTTGCAGGCAAACTATTATAAATTATGCACAACCACTAGAAAATGTACAATTATGAATGTAAGGTAAGCATCTGAAGGAAAGTAAATATTGTAGTTCTTCCCAGAACGTCTTGCGAAACGTAAGTTACTCCCTTCTTCTTCTTCTTCTTCTTTGAAATTTTCAAACACAAAACTTAACAAAAATTCTTTCATGTAATGCACAGGTGGCCATATTATATACGGACCCTCAAAAAGAACTCTCCACACGCATGAAGAATATATTTATAACTCTAAAGCTCTTACTCAACTGACCTGAAACATTTTCTTCACGTAATCATTGCTGCTTCATAACCTTGTGATAAGTAAGTTTCAAGATCCAATAAAAATCACGAGGCCGTACCTCAAGCAACTCTTCAGTGCCATCTTGTTGGAATGAAATCAGTTCTGTGTTTTCCTTTAGATGCTACAATATTTACAGTATGAATTTTTAATTAATAATTATGCATTCGAGTAATCAAATAAAATAAAATTTGTCCGATATTAATCTCGAAGTTTCGCACCTTCGCCTTGCTTGTAATTGTTAATCTAGACAATGTTTAATATCATTGTGTTTGTATGTTAATGATTTACCTCCATACGAAATTTCACATATCTGGCTACCACTATTAAACCGAAAACTAAATATAAAATTTCAGTAACCAGCCGTCATGTTAACGTTTTAGATTATACAAATTATGTGAAAGAAAAATGCATAGGTATTACTACAGATAATTTTAAATCCTATATTAAATGTCGCTTTCACCTCAACTACAATGCCCCTATTACTGTTGGCATATACTTAAAATGTATGATGTTGATGATTTATATGTCAATTGGACCAAAAGTTATTAAGGGGAAAGCAATGCTGGTGGACCCAAGAATATGACGATAATACTACAACCTATACGTCATAAAATAAGGAGTGAATTAGGCTACCATATTAGATAGGCCAAAGACTGGGCATTTCACTTTTATTTGTCCGAGCTGGTTAAGAGATCATAATTTCATTCATGAGGAAATTTAGATTCTGCTAAATTCGGGGAATGTTTGCTATAATGCAGTTCAGAACACTTTGTCTTCCCTTTTGTTGTCTAAAACAAAAAGACTAAATATACAAATATAGTACCTGCTGCTTTGTATGGTTGTGAAATATCTTACGTCATGGGAAGACCACAGATCGAGAGTGTTTATGAACAAAGTGCTCAGAAGAATATTTAGACCTAAGAATGAATGACGTGAGGACGAAGAAAGCTGTATAATGAGGAACTTCACAGATTGATCTTCGGCAAATATTATTGCGGTGGTCAAATCAAGGAGAATGAGATGCAGAGCGCATTGGGTAGATGGAAAATATGTACTGTATTTTGGTTGGAAAGTCTGAAGGGAAAAGACCACGGAAATCCCAGGAGTAGATAGCAGAATAACATAATGTATCTTAGGGAAACTGGGTTTGTGGGTATAGATTTAATCCATCTGGCTCAAGACAGGGGAAGTGGGGGACGTTTGTGACCATTGCAATGAACCTTCGGGTTTCACAAAATGCTTCTCAAGGAGAAGTTAATCAGTAAAGTTTATTTTCTACAAGCATGTTTTCTCTTGGCCTTCATATAGAACTAATCTCTCCGCCCAGTGGAACTCATTACGATAAATTGTTATAGATTTCAAATACAGTTCATTCACCTGTAAGTAATGGTCTTTCAGCTTTTACAAACTTCAGTACATCGTTAATAAATGACATGAAGTGGTATAGCCCCAAAGACTATCAAATGTGTCCCGTGTGCCTATTTGGCATCTCAATATAAAAAAAATAACTTTAAACACCATGGGACCTAATATCATTTGGTACTTTGCGCACGTATGACAAACAACGCTGTCAAAACTTATTTTTTCTTCTCCGTTTATTTTAAACGATTGATAACATAGTCAGGGACAGAGAAGTAAAAAGAACGAGGACCACTCAAAGCTCTTGCCCTTCATAGTTACAAGACCACTCTAATTTTTCATTGCATTCCTTGATCTCATGTGGCCATTTGCCACGGCCTTCAGTATTAAAAGGTTATACATATATACATATACGTATATGAACTAAGGTTAAGATAAAAAGTGAGCGGCCTCTTACAGCCTACTTCCAGGATGCAGCCATAATGTAACCATGCCCCTACATATGTCTTCTTTCTTAGATTCAGACCCAAAGAACAAGAAAACACCAAAGCGTTATTTCGATCCCTACAAATTATAGGCCTGTAGATTTTTAACACTTAATTTTGTTAAATTATTTAAATTAATTATTTAAACACAGAGCAGCTCTCATTTTGTAATGTTTGTCTTATAGCAAACTTCGTAAGCTGTTTTAGTTTTAGTAATAGTAATTAGTTCTGTTTATCGAGATTTACCGAGCTGTGACGTATGTCTGGCAGCGAGTATTGAAACTGGTTCATATCTATCTTATGGGCCCGACAAAGACCAGCCCATTCCGGACTTCCCACTTCCCTTCAGGTCGCAGTTCTTTTATACAAACGACCACTGATCGCCGACTACAGGCCTACTTTATTTACAGCAGTTTTAGTTCTTCAGTGACGACATCTGAAGTCACAAGACAGCAAAACAATGAAGCACAACATTCCGAAGCGTCTAACCCCGTCCAATGACAATAAAAGCTGTCGATAACTTCTAATGATTGCAAATGTAATTATTCCGGACACTTAGCAATCGCGATCCGAAGATAAATAATCAAGCTTTACAGATCGCGGCACGAAGGACCGGCAAATAAATGCAGTCAACACATCCAGATAAGTAGATAAAACTCACTGCAACTGATCTTCAAACCTCCGAAATACAGAACTATGTTTCATGCTGTATCGCCCACATATAACTTCGTAAAGTGTTGTTGAATTCAGTTTCGTTGAAAATTACAACCCTAAAATTCTGACACCTTGAAATTCCTAGAGTTTAAGGGCACTTAAAAGAATATCCGTTGACATGCAAAAGAAATTTTTCGGCAGAGGTTAAAACCCCAGTACGTAAGAGAAACACGCTGATGGCTGATAATATTTATCCATAAATTGAAATTAGAATATTTGCAATAAAAATAAAGAAAATAGCAAAGAACTGGGCTATACTTGAGCAAATATAAAGGAAAAGGTTCGATAAGCAGTAGGAAGATACAAAGGTCACAAATTAGGGTGGTAGAGAGAATAAGCCGAGTAAGAGTAAGAATTTACTGTATAAGAAATTATCCTAATAAAATACTTATTATTATACGTAACACTAATTACTGCATATTATTCAAAAGCAGCTTTCTTGCATTTTGCTACATACTTCACACATTATTCAAAATAATCACAATCCACAACCATTACGTACCTGTTCTATAAGAACCAATTAATAACTCATTATCACTCTAATGTAACAGTAATGTCAAGAATATAAATGATTACGTTATTTAACGACGCAGTATCAGCTAATGTGGTTATTTTTCGTTCCAAATACTGGTGTAAATAAAAAGCAGAATGGTCAAAGAAGAAACGGGACCACCAACATGCAGTCATCTCAACAAAGTTATGCCCATAACAGAATTCACATAATGTGGCAAGATCATCGCCCTGATGACAGAGGCAGCAAGGACCTCTGAAACGTCGGTAAACTTCTACCAGATTACACG